TTGTATAACCTGTTCCAAGGTTTTGAAATGGAATATAATTGTATGTTGGCTGGTCCACGTTCGCTCGCCGCTACTTATGGAGTCTCGTTTGATTTCCTTTCCTCTGGTTACTACAATGTTTTGGTTCACCAGGTTAAAATCGATGGTTGGTTTACCCTAGGATCGCACCACTATTGTCTTGACTTCCCATGCATAGCACGACTCTAAAAGAGTCGCCCTACGGGTGGGAACTTAGTGCTTTTCGTGTATACACGTCCTTTTGGGCATGTTCGCTAGACATCCTTAACACTCACTTTGAATACTTGATAATACGTTCCATATTGAGATCGATACTTATATGTTGGGACCTCGCAATCAAGAATCATTTCTGTTTCACAGCGCGCAGGGTGATCTGTATAAGGGGGTTCGAGGGTTATAAATTCTAAAATAGGCGGCCCTTAAGATTTATGGCTAAGTCATACTTTGATGGTAAAGGCATTTAGTTTGTTTTTAGATGCGTATTGGTTAAAATCTAATGGTTGGCCAGAAGTGCTACTAAATGAACCGATGTGACCGTTTTCAACTGTTTTTCGTGGAATACTTCGTTGTGTAGGTAATCGTCCGGCTAACTCTACTTTAATTCCCATGGTCTGGTGTGGAAGGGAATTTGTTGAGGCTAAAGAAACTTTATTAAACAGCATTTTCTGCATTCGTAAAAAGTTGTAGTTACCTGCATTAAGAGCAATATACTGGGCCAAAATAGCACTGTCTAAATACGGGTACTGTAATCGAACCAATCTAAGCTCTACCTGCGTGCCAAATAATCGGGCAACAGCCATACCTAACGCATTGGTTTGAGTTTCGGTCAGACCAATATTCTGCGTACAGAAGTAAGGGACGTTTACCACTACTTTTCGATTAAATACTTTGTACATAGGTTTACCAGATAAGATTTTAGCTGATTTGAAAAAGGATTGAATTACGCGGTTGGCCATAATCTGAGTTGTCATCTTTAGGCGTAGGTCTTGTTAGACAATATGTTTATTCTTATTTAGGTCATTTGAGTTATAGGGACCAAAGGTAATATTGGCAAAGGGTAAGTAACACAAGCCGATGAAAGGATTTGAACCTTTTTTTTCACTATATGAGAGTGATGAAATAACCATATATTCTACATTGGCGGGGAAAGCTACAGAACGGCTGTAAGCCAAATTTTGTTATTGAAATCACTTATCTTGTTTATACGAGTTACTATTGTATTTTGGTGCGCAAGGGAGTTATGTGCGTGGGCTAATTTACTGTAATATTACCAAGGGCGTTTAGAGCATGCTATTATCACCTCGGACTTTACTTTAACATAGGTTAATAGTGATAGCTGTTCCTATAGCTTTCAGAGGGGCCCAATACGAGAATCGAACTCGTGTAACCCGCACCACAAGCGAGTGTTCTACCACTGAACTAATTAGACCGTAGAAAAGGGGTTTGATGGGGTAAATGCGTATTATACTTATACATGCTTATTCTTTGGCTAATTGACCAGTTCCGAGTGATAGACCTGCGGTAGTTGTTAATAAGAATAGGAACACTAATCGTAGATCTCCTAGACCTGTACCTCCACCTTCCGTTAGTACTGGAACAAACAGCAGTAATGTAAGTGAGATAAATCCTAAAATAATGTATAGCGCATATGAAGTAATAATACCACTATCAAGAGTAGCTAATTGTCGACTAGTATTGTAGAAAGATCCGGTTAATCCAAAGGGTCCTACTTTTTCAACTAGTCCTCGATCTAGTACTTTAGATGTAACTAAACCAAACCCTAAGGCATTGTTAATAATGTAGTTGTTATAGATAACGTCCACAAAGTATTTACCGTTAAAGAATGTATACATCATGTAACCTAGTTTATTCATAGTTAGGTTTACGGCTAAGTATGGTAATCGGTGGTAAAGTAGTAAAGCTGTTGCAGCCCCTAATGCACTACCTACTGCAGGAAGTAGTTTATAGAATAGCGGAATACTGAATTCAGCTTCTACAAGTGTAATGTGAGTAGGGTGGATAAATAGCGCTGACGATAGGAAATCGCTACCTGGACCAACAAAGGCATCTTTTGCTACATAACCAAAGAAAATAGCTAATAGAGATAGGATAACGTAAGGGATAACAACAATTAAAGGTTGTTCATGAGTGTGTTCATAATCACCTTTAGGAGCGTTTGGAGTAGTTAAGAATGTCATACTAATTAATCGGAATGAGTAGAAAGCAGTGATCATAGCTGTAATTGTACCTAATCAGTAAGCTACATTTCCACTGAATTCGTATTGTCCGTATGCTAGTTCAAGGATCAGATCTTTACTGAAGAACCCAGTTAAGAATGGGAATGCCATCAGTGATAGTGATCCAACTAAAATAGCTGTATATGTAAAGGGTAGGAAGTTGATTAAACCACCTAGTTTTCGTAGGTCCTGTTGATCTTGCATTGAGTGTAATACACCACCGGCAGCTAAGAATAGTAGAGCTTTGAAGAACGCGTGATTTACAAGGTGGAATAGTGCAACGTTGTACTGGCTAAGTCCCACGGCCATAAACAGGTAACCCATTTGTGAACATGTAGAGTAGGCAATAACTCGTTTAATATCGTTTTGTAATAGCCCCGTTGTAGCAGCAAAGAATGCTGTTAATGCTCCCACTCATGTAATGACAATAAGTGTTGTTGGTGCATATTCTAAAAGAGGTGATGACCGTAGTAATAGGTACACCCCTGCCGTAACTAGTGTAGCAGCATGGATTAAAGCTGAAACAGGAGTTGGACCTTCCATCGCATCCGGTAATCAAGTGTGTAGACCTAATTGGGCTGATTTACCCATGGCAGCTAATAACAGTAGTAAACCAATCAGGGTTAGTGCTGACTCGTTCATGAAAGGTGAAAGGCTAAAGACTGTGCTGTAATCTAAGTTACCAAAGACTCAGAACAGTGCGAAAAACCCTACACTTAAGAACATATCACCCACTCGATTTACAGTTAGTGCTTTAATGGCTGATTTGTTTGCTTGGATTCGTGTAAATCAGAAGTTAATTAGTAGGTATGATGAAATACCAATTCCTTCTCAACCTAGGAACATTACAAGATAGTTATCACCTGCTACTAGTACAAGCATAAAGAACGTGAACATTGATAGGTAAGCGAAGAATCGTTGGTTGTGAGGATCTGCCGCCATATAATCAACTGAGAAAATATGAACTAAAGATGATACTACTAATACCGGTAATAACATCGATACTGTTAAGCTATCAAATAAGAAACCTCAGTTAACTAGCATTGACTCTGAGTCAATTCAACTAGCTAAGTAAATAGATACGGGACTACCAGATAACCCCACTTCATAGAATGCAACAATAGATAGCAATGCTGACATCACTAGTAAAGTACAGGTAATAATGTGTGCTCCAGTAACTCCCATTTTTCGTCCTAGGAACCCTGCTGACATAGCACCTAGTAGAGGTAGGGCAAGAATGGTTAAATACATTTATCTTAGTGAAATGCTTCCTCGTAGTCGGTAATAGGCAACTAAAATCCCTAAACCAATAGCTGACTCAGCACCTGCAATAGCAATAATGTATACACTGTATGTTTGTCCTAGAATGTCATCAAAACTGAATGAGCTAATGATCACTAATAGGGTAACAGCCAGTAACATCATTTCAATTGAAATTAGCATAAGGATAATGTTTTTTCGGTTAAGAACAAAACCTAAAATTCCAATTAAAAATAGTACAAGGGATAAATTCATGGTAGTAATATTGTTGTCTAATTAGCCTCCTGTAGCTAAAGCCACTCTATGATTGGTCCCATGAATGGCTAGGAGACTCTTTGGATAATGAAGACTCCAATGCCCGTTCTCAGGCACCGGAGGTAACTTAAGGATAAGCGATAATCGCCAAACGAGAACAGTCGGACTCGAACCGACACCACCTATTATGACGTAATAGTGTTCTACCATTAAACTATGTTCACTCTTGTTTGCCCTTAATTAGCTATTACCGGATCCGCGTAGGGTGATTCGAGAAAAGGGGTTGATAGATTTTATCAATCTGCAGCACGTTCCCGTACAGCATCCGTGTTACAACTTCACAAAAGTCATGACTGCTACCACGTGAAACCAATATTGATCCCACTTTTGCAACATATCATTTCCCTCGCGTGATGTGCAGTTAGTACATCTCAAATATATTCTTCACCGTGACATGCTTATCCACGATTACTCAGAATTCCTTCTTCATGTAGCCGGGTTTCAGACTACAATTCGTACAGAACAACTTTAGCTGATTTGCTTAACTTTGCAGTGTTGCCTCATATTATAGTTGCTTGTGCGGCACGTCTATAGCCCATCGCATAAGGGTCATAAAGGTTTGTCTTAGTCCCATTACGATCTCTATTTCAGAGATACACACCTAATTTCTTAAGCATAGGGTTTGCATTCATTAGCGGACTTAACCTAACGTCTAACGACATGAATTGAAGACAACCATGCAACACCTGTTTAGAATACAAGCGATGGTAAGGTTCTACGTGGATCATCGTATTAAATAACATGCTTCACTCTGGGTTTTTGAAACCGTCTAGTCCTTTCATTTTCACTCTTGCGAGTATATTAGTGTTGCGGAATACTTAGCGCGTTTGCATTAGACATTGTTAGGACAAAATCTTAGTATTCATCGTTTACAGTGTGGATTAACTTGGTATCTAATCAAGGTCACTGCCCACACCTTCGTGCCTAAGCGTCGATCTTTCTTCGTAACATGCCTTCGCCTTAGTAGTCAAACTAGGATTAGGATATTTCATCATTACTCTAGCGGTTCTCATTACGTCTATTAGATTCTAGCTCATTGTGAGAGCTGCCTACGCACTCTTTACGCATATGTATGTGGCTTAACGGTCGCCCAGATCGTCTAACCGCTCCTGCTGGCACGATTTTTGGGATGGACTGCACTTATCTTACGGTCATTATTTGTAAGTAAGTGTCTACAATATATAGATATTATAGATTCTAGCTAGCATGTTCATAATTCTCGGGATTACATTTACAATAATTTGTGACTGCTGTACATCTAATGATGCCTTGGGTGAATCTCACACCCATTGTGGGATAAAAACTGTCATCTTATCCTACCTATCTTCGGCTAGTTGAGCTTTTACCTCGCCTACTACCTATTAGGAACTAAGCAAATGGTTCTGAAGGCCGTATCTACTTAGTTGTCCTCACCTGTACGCCTTATTAAATGACTTGCATGTCTTCACCTGCTAGATACCGTTTAAGCTGAGCCAGGACCAAACTCTTGCTTAGGTTTACTCACTAAATTAAGTAGTGGTTATTTGTCTGTCTTCTTATATGTTTCTTCGAGGTATCTCATTCTATTCTCAAGATGATCCAAAGGGAAGGAAGATGCAAAAGATGGGACTTGAACCCATACGACATATGTCATCGAATCTTAAGCTCGATATGGCTACCGTTTCATCACTTTTGCTAAAGGGGGTTTAGAGAGATTGAGCTTAGTTGCGACAGGGCCGGAGGTCTAGGTTAGTTAGCTAATTTTTTAGATGGGCTTTGTGTTGCTAAATCAAGTAATGTGTTTTCAACAATACCGATTACAGGCACGATTACCACAAATCATCCAAAGTACAGTGCTGTACAGATCTGTCCCACGGTAATAAATGGGTCTTCAACGTGACAAGCTCCTAGATACATAAGCGCAGCGAAATTTGCGACAAAGACTCAGAAAGCAAATCGCATTAATGGTCGGAATTGTGCTCCTCGGATTCGTGATGTATCTAATAGAGGCATTGCCAGTAAGATTAGTAGAGCCATGAACATAGCAAGAACTCCCAAGAGTTTGTTTGGGATTGATCGTAGAATAGCATAGAATGGAAGCAGGTATCATTCAGGAACGATCGATGGAGGTGTTTGCATTGGGTTTGCTGGAATGTAGTTATCACTGTGTCCTAATAGGTTAGGAGCATAGAATACAATACCAGATAGTGCTAATAGGAACCCAAAGATTGTTACTAAATCTTTGAATGTAAAGTAAGGGTGGAATGGTAATCGATCTGTGTTACCGCTAACTCCTAATGGGTTTGATGACCCGTGTTCGTGAAGTGTAAGTAAGTGCATTGCCGCTAATGCTGCTAATACAAATGGAAGTAGGAAGTGTAATGAATAGAATCGGTTCAATGTAGCGTTATTTACAGAGAAACCTCCTCACACAAACTGAACAAAGTCTTGACCAATTCAAGGGATAGCAGATAATAAGTTAGTAATTACAGTCGCCCCTCACAATGACATTTGACCGTACGGCAGTACATAACCAAGGAATGCAATAGCCATCATTAAGACTAGCATGATAACTCCAATTGATCAAGGTAATGTTCGTGGTGATTTGTATGATCCGTAGTACAGTCCTCGTCCAATG